AGTAATGTTTTGTAGCTGCTGGCAGGAATAGCCAGGCTGATCTGTTGCTGCAGAACAAGCAGTGTTACACCTGCAGCTGGTTGATACTGCTGTGACTTTTCATGTCCCGTGGAATGAAGATGCCATGTTCCAGTCCTTCTGTTCAGTTGAACAATCTAGGAAATATAGTCTCTGTTCAGGCTGCTCCTCACCCCCCAGCAAGTGTTCCTCGGCTTTGTTAAATTTTCGTGATTGAGTTCTCCTAAAGCAAGGAAGTGAAAACTGACTTTAATTACTGGCTGCAGTTAAGTGTTTGTCCCTTCCTGCTACTAGCTGTCAGCTAGAAAACTGTGGGAAAAGAAGAATTTAGCGTTGTTACTAATGTTTGTTTGGTTTTATTAAAGTTCTAAGTCCGTCCGTGTCCGTCCCGTCCCCCCCCCCCCCCCCCCAATAATTTTGGGGGCTGTGACCTCAAAGTTGGGAAACACTGCTCCAGTTGAAACAACTGAATGAAGTAAAAGCTTTGTGGTCTCTGCTTACATAAAATTTCAGATCAAATGATCTCGTGGACAAAACACAATTTAACATAAACTTGAGGTAATTTCTGAGTTTTCTTCTATGAAAACTCACACTTAGAAGGAGTTCAGGCTGTCTAGCATCAACTTAAATTATGAGTATGTATCATCTAGTAATAACGGAGTACTGTTGTCTTAGCATGAAATTCAAACTGTTCTGAATCTCATTCCTTAGTAATAGATCCTGTGCTGTAAGTGATGGGTATTGTGGTGCCACAAGAAACAAATTTACTGAGTTACCTTGAAAGCTCTGCATATCAGTCATGTAGGTGTATGCAGTGGCAGAAGTATTTGTGGTACGTAAGGCCTAACTTGCCTAGAAGGTGGTTAAAAGTTGTTTAGAGGTAGTTCTGTTAATGGTGAGTATGTGCATGCATGAACAGAGTGAACATAAATTTCTATTCTTCTAATTTCTTTAAAAATACAGTGCAAGTATTGTAACTACATACTTGTGCAGATATTGCTAGCCGAATAAAAGCAGAAGCAAAATTAAAATTTTGCTGTTCTTTGGTCTTTTACAATCCAGTGTGTAAAGCGTGAGCTCAGTCTGCTTTTTGACATCAGATCAATCCTCATTCTTGCAGTCCCAAAGCAGTTTTCTGACTTACCTTAACTAAAAGATTTTTTTTAATACAAGTGAAAATTCTTTCTTCTGTCTCATGTTTCTGAATTGTGCAGTGGGAAAAGCTTTTGTTTTGTTTACAGGTATTCTGGTGGCTGTGCTTGTTTAAATGCATCTCGGAACACAGAGGCAGAAAGAAGATGCCATGCACTTCAAAATGGCTGCTGTCTTGGCTCAAAGTAGATTCCAACGGTTGTGTGTACACACCTTTATTGTGATTGCTGGTGAAGACTCTCTGAAGCACCTGTCTTGAAAGTTTTGGGTTGTGTTGCCTCGATAGTAACTACTTGAGAGGTGAAATAAGTTAGCTTCATCAGGACTGCACAGCTGCTGCCAAATCTTACTTAAGACAAAGCTAGTTTGGATATCCGTCTTACGGTGTTTGGATCTTTAGTTTGTCTTTTGGATTGCTTGCTTATGTTTTCACCAAATTCTGTATGTCTGCTGTGAGGCAACTTGATTACTGCCCTAGGGAGGCAGTCAAGACAGCTGCTCTTTTTTTGGTGTTGGTTAGCCAAGTGTCAAAGCAGCTTTATTGGTTTTGGAAGAAGCAGCACGTTTTTTTGCTTTAAAGCATTTTGATATATGCAGCAGAGGAGTGACTGAGTGAGAGTGTTTCTGCTCCTCTCTGCAGCTAATGCAAAAGAAGAATAAGATCAAAGTACTTTATTGGGTGTTGCTGATAGCAATCCTGTTAGAATCCCAGTATTTCAGCAAACTAATTCCTTTTGCTGTTGAAGCCTGTGCAACTTCTGAGCAGCTTTTAACACCTACTTCAGAGTGGATCTTTTAAATCTAGCGGAGCAGAAGCCTTAGGCTAGAAATGTGCAGCCTCCTTGTTCTGTGAAATTCTATTCAAGCTTTGCTGATAAATACTGCTTCCAGAAATAAGTTTTCCAATTTGTATTTGTATTCCTTGGGAAAACTTTGGCTGTATGTGAAAATAATTGAACACAAATATTGTGAAGTTGGGTATATGTTGATGTAAAAGCATTATTGAGAACAAGCACTGTACAGCGGCACCCACACTGTCACTGTAATAACGGACAGAGAGAAGAAGTTGTAGCTTGATCCGTATTACAGCTAACTGTACTAGAATGTTACCTTTAAAAAGGTAAATTGTATATCTTTAATGTTAAATTTAAAAGTTCAAGCTTTTGTTTTCTAGTAAGGTTTGCTAGGAACTTGGTCCTGTCTCATCTATGTGGTAAGGTAGTGTTGTGTGTGGTGGGGGGATTTTTTTCTTGCCCTTAATAACTCATCCTTGTTCAGTGCTCGAGGCAGACAGATGAAGGGGTGGTGGGCAGTGCAGCTAAGCAGATTAAATGGTTTGCTGCCACTGGTGAGGGGTGGGTTCTGCTGTTCCTTATTGTCTGCTGTCAATGGTCTCCACACTCTAGTTCCTGTCTGACAATGCCATGAACCAATTCTGTTCATTAATTTAGCAGCAAAGTGAATAGTTTTCTGCTGAGCCATTAAATTAAGTCAATTTACTGTGCAATCAGATGAGCATCAGCCGGTACCAGGAGTGGTGTAGGACTGTGTGCCAGGAGCAGTGGCGGAGGAGAGTGGGGAGTTGGACTCTACCCATCTGTGGCAATGAGCTCTTAGATTGCCCAGCTATATCATATATCGACATTTGAAGGCCAAACAAATAATTATGAATTTTAACATTTTTCCAGTCTTTCAGTGTTCAATTTAATATTATAATATAATTTGCTTTGAAATACCATGTCTGAAGTATCTAAAAATAATTTTTCCTAGGTACGTCATGTGCTGCCGGTGTGAAAATGACGTAGCTTTCTTGACAGAATTTGTCTTGCATATGGAGTAGCATAAGCTTGTGTGAATTTGAAAGACTCAAAACAACTAATCAGTTTTTGAAGTCAAATTATTTTTAAATTTCTTCTTGAAGTGCTTTAGAGAATTAAGTTTTACTCTTGTTGGTATGTGATTTATTTATTTTTTTTTAAGTCTTTAATTCTAGTAATGTTTTGAAAAAAATCCCATTTGGAATCCCCTTTCTTTTCTGACCTTTGTGTTTTAAGGCTTTTTTCCTTTCCAGTGGCATCAGTACTCAGTAGCTCAGACCCTTGAAGAAAGGATTAATATTTTGTCTCCCAGGGATAGACACTCCCCACTTTGATTTTTCTCTCTCTTCCTAGTTGCAAGTAGCAGTTTGGGGGGTGTCTGCTACTTCACATTGTAATCTTCTGGTGGGTTTCTTGTATTTGGTGTTGTTTTTTTGTTATACGGCCTTTTGTTCCTTCTGTGATTGTTACTCTCTTGGTTTCCAGGTGTTTCAGAATTAGAAATGGCCTCGGTCGTATCCTTTTTGGAGAGATACAGAAAGTTCTGTGGAAGAGACTTGTGTTCAGAGATGAGAGGCTGCTAGCAAATAATTTGGTTCCAAATTGTGCACACCGGTTTTGCAGCTTCTCATGATTTGGAAAAGTGTGTACTGATGAGCTTTAAGACTTGATATTAGGTCTAAATGGCATAACCCTTGTAGTCTGTAATCAAATGTAAAAATAGTCTATATTATTAAAATATTTGTATTTAAAACTGAACAGAAAATTTCTTCTCAAGCTGGAAGGAGGACTGTGTAGTATAGCAGAAAAACCAACTATTTTTATCCTGTGATTAAGAGCTTTTTTTCCTTTCTGAAGGTTTCATGGAGATGGTGTGAAAACAAACACAGAGAAAGATAAATGTTCTTCACTTCAAAAATGTCTTGGTGTAATTCCTCTTAAGAAGGTTTTGAGTACTTGCATGGGTGTATACCGAGCTAACTAAAACGTATTTCTACAACTGGTTTTGAGTGCAGACCTTTTTTGGATATGTTTATGTGAACTATGTGTGATTTGGCACTGATTTATATTCCATCTATCTGATGTTAATTGTGTATGTTACACTGTTTTTTTTTTTTTTGTTGTTCCTGTCTTAAAAGCACCACTGCTTTTGACACCATGGCTTTGCTCTTTTGAGTGCGGTTTACTGATGGTTAGAATAGACTACTTCAGTTGGAAGGGACCTACAACAATCGTCTAGTCCAACTGCCTGACCCGTTCAGGGCTGACCAAAAGTTAAAGCATGCTGTTAAGGGCATTGTCCAAATGCCTCTTAAACACTGACAGGCTTGGGGTATTGACCACCTCTCTAGGAAGCCTGTTTCATAGTTCAGTAGTTTTGTAACCTTAAAGGTGGTGTGTATCTTTTTTTTTTTCTTGCATAGCTGCATCTGTGAAATTAAGTGATAGATTAAAAAAAAACAGCCACCACATATTACAGGAGTTGTTGGATGAAATTGATTGTTAGTAAAACTTATTGGAAGATACAGTCAAGGGTGGGGATTGGGACAGATTGAAAGAGGAAGTCAGATGATCTTCCTTCTGATACTGTAGAAACTGAAGTCAATAGTTTTTGAAGTAGTTTTGCACATGGAGAGTCATACCCGTCTTTTCCATGAGTACTTTACATTTCAACTAGTAATAATGGAATATAATTTAGTAGCTGGATGTTATGCAAGGACGTATAGATTCTGATCTTCAGTCTCCTTAGGTTTTCTTTGGAGATTATAGACATGCTGAAGTGTGAGAGAGCAGTTTGGCTCTTGCCATAGCAAATAGCTTCTTACTTTAAATTTAGAAGTTGTGTGTGTCTGCCTGTTCTGCAGATTGTACCCCAGTGAATATAAATTTCCATCCTTTCCCTGCTATGTGTGAAATCCTGGATCCGAGTGACTAGTCCCTACAAAAATCTGAGCTCCATTTGAGAACCAGTGCAGTGGGCTTCTGGGTGACCCCTGCTTCCCCCTGCCTCACCTTGCTGCAGTGTTCAGTGCCATAATTCAGTGTTTTCTATATTCAAACTAATCTATTGTCTGGAAATGTTTGACTTCTTCATGGTATCTGTCAGTATAACACAAATTTTCATGTTTAGATTGAAACAATTTTAAAATGCTGAGTCAAAGCATTTTTAAGAGTCTGAAATACCTGTAGACGCTTGGATGTTCCCTAGTTCTGTATTCCTGCAGTCAGGAAGTGAGAAAGAAATTGTATATTCTGTAGTCTGTATATCGAGGTTTGGATTGAGATTCCTAAGGCTATAATAGGGAACTTCCCACTGTCGTAAACTATTTCTTTGGTTTTACCCTCGAATGGAACTGCTGCTATAATGACACCATTACAGTCCGCAGCATGTGAGCAGTAGGTGATTTTTGTCAGGTGATGGCATTTCACTAGGTACCCTTGGCACCCTCAGTGAGCTATTTTCGGGACTACTCTGAGGTTGTCAGTTGTACATGTTACTGCTGTTTCCAAGTCCACTAGATTTAAAGACTCTTTGTGGCAGAAGGAAGATGTTAACAGAAGTGGTGAATATTGCATCTACCAGATGGAGCAGTCCTGTTGCAGAGGCCCACAAGGGTTTTGCATTAAATTTAGCCTAATGAAGGGACAGATTTCCATGAGGATGCTGTGCCTTTTGGCAGTTGAACTTGTTTAGCTAAAAGTGAAATTGTGCTCACAGAGTATCCTATGTTAAATCTGATTTAGAGTCAAGGGAGTCTTTGTAGCTCTTAACTATGTGGATTAGGTTAAGAAATCCTAGAGCCCACTTCCTTGTTTGGGCTGAGAAAGAAATGTGTGACCTCGGGTCACTTCTTCCTGCCCGACAAGATGGGAAAATAGAAGCTAGAGAGATAACTAGCTCGCCTGCCTCCGCTTTGGAAATCTCAGAGGTATGCAGCTGCTGTCAGAAACCTCAAGAGGCTCAGAGGCAAGTGTCTTACTGGAAAGGAGAAGCAGCAATTATCTGCACCATCCATATCCAGACCTCTTAATTATCAGCAAGAATGTGTGATTCCATGTACCAACAGTTGTGATTTTTTTTTTTTTTTTAAGGACTCCAGTGTATTACTTGGGCTGAGGATTACAAGCTGAAAATAGTCTCTACAGCATAGTAGTAGAGTCTGGCTAACTTCACTCTTGTGAATTTGAGGTTACTTAGAAGTTGTGTATTTCATTGCAAGACTAAACTTCTGTGTCTGAACCTGCTGATCTTTAATTGCTTGTTGTGAATATGATTTTGTGCTCTGACATGCCCAGTAATTTGATTTATCGAATCATGAAATTATTTCAACTGCTAGACTTTAGGGCAGTGTAGTGACAGAAGTTTTTTCGGCTACTGCATTTATTACTTGCAAAAAACCCCAAAAGCACTTGAAGGAAAACATGTTAAAAGAAGGGAGAATGTTTACCTTGGGAAGCACTTGAACACGTTATCCCTGAATTAGTACTTTTTGGCTTTAGGCCATTACAGTTTGTTTTCAATTCAGCTTGCATACTATGTACACTTGAAGCTAGTTGCTGTTATGTGAGGTTTTGGTTTTTTGTGGTTGGTTGTTTGGGGTCTTTGTTTTTGTCTGTATTTTGTTTTTGTTGTTTTTTTTTTAATTTAAGAAGTATAGGTTCAGTTTTTAGATGTTTCCTCGTATATTTCAACGAAGTTTATTTAATTTTGGAAGAATGACCACGTAAAGCCATGTGACAAGGTAGGCTCTGGCACTGGGATCTTGTGCACAGCTTGCTGATGAGGGCTGATATTCATTGACCGTTTGTAAACCCTTGTTTGGCAGTGTTGTTTGACGGCTGTCATATAATGTCTCTGAACTTTCTGGTATAGTAATTGCTGATGACCAGTTAATGGGTATGATTAAGGATTGTGACTCATCATGAAAGCAGCCTTGGGAAACTTTTTTGTGATCTCCTCCCTTTCCCCCCCAGCTTATTTGTCAGTCATAATGTGAACATGGCAGGTGTCGCTTACTGCTTGTTTTCAGTAAGATACACGTATTGGTTTCTGGTCTTTGTGTGCCGCAGGGAGGATTTTCATAACTTTGAATTTTGATCTTTAAATACATATTTCATATATGAAGGTATTGAAGAGGTCTTTTTTTCCCTCTCAACAGGTGGGAAGGAGAAACCAAAAACCAATGCAGAAGAGCTGCAGATTAAAAAAGTTAAGAAGAAAAAGAAAAAGAAACATAAAGAAAATGAGAAGAGGAAGCGTCCAAAAATGTACAGCAAATCTATTCAGACTATCTGCTCAGGATTGGTTTCTGATATTGAGGATCAGGAAGCCAAAGGCATCATAGATGATCATCTTAAGGATTTCAATGGGAAAAATATGGATCCCAAGAAGGACTGTGAGTCCAAGATACCAGAGAACAGTGAGTTTCCATTTGTCTCGTTAAAGGAGCCACGGGTTCAAAATAAACTCAAAAGGTTGGACACATTGGAGTTCAAACAGCTGATTCATATTGAGCACCAGCCTAACGGAGGTGCATCAGTTATCCATGCCTACAGTAATGAACTCTCCCACTTATCTCCTGTGGAGATGGAGAGATTTGCAGAAGAGTTTGTGGGTCTGGTTTTTAGTGAAAATGAAAACTGTGCAGCTTACTATGTAATGGGTATTGTTCATGGGGCAGCTACATATTTACCTGACTTTTTAGACTACTTTTCGTTTAATTTTCCCAATTCACCAGTGAAAATGGAGATTTTGGGAAAGAAAGATATAGAGACAACGACTATGTCAAATTTTCATGCTCAGGTAAGAGGTTATACATTTTACTTTCTAAAGTCATATAATGGTTTCAAACAACTGTGAATGGAGTTTTTTAGAATACGGTTGCTATTAGCTGTGCTGTGTGGATGATGCAGAAGACTAGAATAAGTTCTGCAATATTAAAGATAAGGAGCTTGTTAACTGAGACATACAGTTGGATTTTTATGGGGGAGGGGAAGTGTTTGCATGCATGTGCGTGTGTAGGTTTCTTCGGATTTGTTTCCGTAGCTGAAGCTTAACCGTGAGTTTGGAGGGTTGAAGTGATTTAGCTGCAGCTATCTGGGCATCTGAACTGTAGTTCATCTGTGTAAACTTATTCCTAAACCTGAAATGCTTTAATACATCAGAACAATGTTATGCATCAGATCTGTGTAGGGCACAGTTAATTAGTTGCATTTGAAGCCTGAGGCTTCTAAATCTGTCCTTAAAGGAGAACTTAATGGTGGTTAATGTAGCTACTGATTTGATCCTTACCCTCTTGCATTTCCTTCCAGTTAGTTGTGTTCTTTTGAAAGCTGTTATGTGGCAAGATGGCAGGCAGCTTTTGAATCTCTTCTATTCATTCTTTTATTTTCTTGGGAGAAATGACTGTATACTCTCAACAACACCTCTGCTATTTATTGACTTGCGGTAGAAGACACATTACTGTTACATATATTTCAGGTCTTTTAAGTTTGGGGCAAAACTGACTTTATCTTAGATTGCCACCTTGATGATGAGGGTATTATGTAAAGCCCACACAGATATTCTGCAAGAGTTTATGAAGAAATGCAAGCCTGTTTTTCATTATATAAACTTCAGCTCACAATTGTCTGTTTAACTCCCTATTTGTGAATTGAGATGTTGTATGGAACACCTTTAAATTATTTTAGTCTTCACTTTTTAGACAACTGTGAAGAGTTCCCGTGTAAGTTATACTGTCATCTTTTTCATCAAAAACGTAATTTTTTTTCTTCTACATGAACATTTCTATGGAACACTATTGTGTTTATTGACAAATTTCAGGTGTGTGTTGTCCACAGGGATATGCAGAACTGAAATGTTGCTGGTTAAGAAAACATCCACTGCCATGGAACATGAATACTCTGTGAAATATATTCACTGTTTGTTTTTTTTTTTTCAGTATGTAAACTGAATCATTACTAGTAAGAATCACAGAACTTACAATGGGCACCAACCCAGAGCTGCTCTGTTTTATGTCATTTTATATAAAAAAAGCTGGATCTGTCCTTGTAAGTATGTTCCTTGAGTCCAGCCTGTAGACTTGGGAAGCATTAATGCAAGCATAGCTGCGTGCTAGTGTCTGCCCTAAAGAAATAGTTAGAAAAGCCCAAATTTTATTTTTGTGAATCATAATGGAATTATTTTACTGAAAGGATGGATTAACTTGGTATTACAATGGTGTCATCAATATCTGTAGTTAAATCAGTTGTGTGGTCTTTAGGGTTGAGATCATAATTTCCCTTTGTGAGGGTTTTGGCCTCTTTGACAACAGGACAATCGTTGAATATTACCTGCTAGGGAGGGATGGGATCCACCCATCTAGAAGAGGCAAGGGAATCTTTGGCAGCAGACTGGCAGGCTTTAAACTGAAGGGCTCAGGGCACAGGGTCCAGAAGAGCAACGCTCATGCCATCGCATCCAACCGGGGAGGAAGGCAGGCCAACCAGAGCAGCGACAAATCTTCCTTTGCTGCCTCCCAAGATGGGAACCAGAAGGCCGACCACCTCAAGGGTGCGTGTGGCTGTGGTGGATCCTCCCGCAGCCCTCCAGGGAAATCTGTGCGCTCGGTTACCTCTCTGAAACGCCTGCACGCCAGCGCACGCAGCCTGGGGAGTGAAGGAAGGACTAGAGATCTGTGTGCGGTCACAGGGCCATGACCACACTGCGGTCACAGAGACGTGGTGGGACAGCTCACGTGACTGGAATGCTGTCATGGAGGGCCGCGTGCTTTTTAGGAAAGACAGGCCAGCAGGGCGAGGTGGGGGAGCTGCTCCGTATGTGAGAGCGCTGCCGTAACGTATGGAGCTCTACCTAGGGGGGGGATGAAGAACAAGTCGAGAGCTTATGGTTAAGAATCAAGGGACAGGTTAGTATGGGTGACACTGTTGTGGGTGTTCACTACAGGCCCCCTGATCAGGAGGAGGAAGTCGATGAGGCCTTGGACAGACAGCTGGAAGTAGCCTCACGTTCACAGGCTCTGGTTCTCATGGGGGG